ATCATGTTATTGTGTTACTGGTTTACTTTATCTGTTTTAGACTTGTTCCATCAATCATGTTATTGTGTTACTGGTTTACTTTATCTGTTTTAGACTTGTTCCATCAGTCACGTTGTCTTTTGTTGTGTGCATGACATTATTTTCAAACAAATCAAAGAGACAAAGATAAAAAGTGACGTAAAAGCACTCTAAATGTTAAATATTTGTTTTACTTTTTTATCGCTAGTTTGTAACCTTATAGTTTCATATTTCTAACATTAAAGTCAGAAGAGTTTTGGTTTTAATAGACTGCTCTGCCTGTTTCTAGGATGAGACGACGTTTCGGCGTTTATACTGAAAAAGTCTTCATTGAGCCAAAATTACACTATGTGTACACTACCTAAAATAACTTTAAACAACATAAACCGTGGGTATTTTCAAGCATGAACAAATACTAGTTTACTTAGTAAGTAGAAATTCAGATGTAGGATGAAAAGAAATGGAACTTTTGTGACATGTGTCGCTACAGATACTTCAGTCTTGGGAACACTGTTGTGTTTCCTACTCCGAAGAATGCTATACTGGACTGACAGCTTGACAGCTACATGCTGGAAAATAAACCTCATGGGTACGACAAAGAGAACTTGTATCTCTGTGGTAACCACTCGTCTTCTTAAATAAGAATGGTATAAACAGTACTCTGAGCTCAAGGTTGGTGCTGAATGACTTGATGTCCTTTAAATAGAATATAAAGACAATGTAATGTGCTGCATAATTAATTAATCACATAAAATATTTTAGTGACGTGTTGAAACTTTTATTCATGTAACTGACACAGCTTACTTTGTTACCACTTCGTGGTATAATTATTAATCATGCATAACAGTTAGGTGGCATGTTGAACGTCTTGTCCAAATGTTCAACATGACTCATTAAGTTCCCACTTCATAGTATGGTTATAGATCAGATAAAACACTTAGGTAGTATGTTGAACGTCTAACCCAAACACGCAATTTGAAACAAACCCAATCTGAAATGACCGAATCTCATGAGATATTATTGGGATTACAGCCGAAAACATCGTTGACATCGAGAGTACCCAATTGATGAAACAATGCATTCTAGTCTTTATAAGTAGGAAAGCAAGAAAAGTACACTGAGTGGTCACAAATAAATAGACACCTAATTTT